AAGAGGGGAGGACCTCTGCCCTGCCACTCACTCCCGGGAGGACTGACATGGTCCTACACACGTGCCTGCTCCCTGCCTGGCGTGCAGAGAAGGCGCCTTTGGAACTGCCATCCCCCAACATGTAGGCTGGATGGGGCAGGCTTGGCCCTATGCGGGCTGGATGGATTGCGGAGGGCTTTATTCCATTTTTTTTAACACGGGAGTAACATATAATAAAGCCCATGAAGCTGCTAATTCAAGCTCTGTTCCTGAATCCACTTCGCCCGTAAAGCAGACGAGTTGATATCTGCCTCCTTGGCGTCCATGACCACCCCTCCATTCACCTGGAATCAGGGAGGAGGTGGCAGAAGAGAGGGGACAAATTATGAACCTAAAACTCTGAGCTGGCCCATATTTATTTTGGTGCTCAGCATTTCTGAAGAATTTCTGTCTTAAAGTCCCTGGACTCTTCCACCACATCCACACCCGGCCATGTCGGTGGCTGTCCTCACCACCGGGTGGGATTCAGAAAAAAAGAGATTCTTCCATTTGTGGGCAGCCTGGATGGCTCCTTTGTCACTCTTCTAATCAGCATATCTGGATGGGAAACTAGACCCCAAGTTCCAGAGGCACCGAGAGTGCTGAGGGTTGAATTCAGAGCAACTGGAGCAGAAAAACGTAGGGACTGGATTATAGCAGAACTCATTCCTCTCACAGGAACCCAGCGCCCCCATCAGCTTCAGAGGCAACAGGCCAATCAAGACGGCGGCCTTTGCCTCCACTGAAGTCGGCGCACTCATTGGGCAATGACTTCCATTTTCCAAGTGAGGAAGCCAAGGCTCAAAGAGGGCAGGTTCAGACTCATAACCACACATCATCCATAAAGGAAAGAAACCATGGAGGGCTCAGAAACTGTTGTACCCAGTCGGGCAACTTCCTGAGGGAGGAGATGGGAATTGTGTGTGCGTGTGTGTCTGTCTGTCTGTGTACGTAGGCCACTGCTTGCCCAGCCTTAGATGCTGCTTGCTCCGAGAGTTGGAAGCCTAAGGACTCAAGTGAGACTGGCAGGTTGGGAGTGACATGGGGCTGGGCAAAGGCGGGAGCCCTGGTGTGCTGGGGATGGGAGCAGGCTGGGCCAAGGAGCTTTCCTAAGATTCTTTCCTTTCCCCCGTTTCCCTGAAGCCATCAGTCACAGAAACCCACCTTTGATTTGTTCCACTTCATCTTCGAACGTCACTGAGTTCCTCCTCTTGGGTGGGCAAGTGTGGGAGGGAGGGTTGTCATCAGACGTGAAGTCTTCGAGCAGCATGACATCCGTTCCTAAAACCAAGGGCAGATTGTGCGCCTACAACAGGCAACACCAAGTCCTTCTCGCCACCTTTCTCGCCCTCGCTCACACCCCTTGCATCCCTCTCTCCCCTTTCGTTTATGCACCACAATCAGGTGCAACCAAGTGCCCTGCAGCATTTGCCCAGGACACACACTGTCTCTCGTCCCATTTCAGGGAGTTTGCAGCCAGCCACTGGGGCTGCTTCAGACACACCAAAAATATAGCAGCGTTATCCAGGCGGACGGGTTACCTGCCACAGCGAGCAGACTCACAAGTGATGAGTCTGCCAGACCTGGAATGGGGAAGGGCAGTCGGGCTGAGCGGAGGAGGGGGCCCTATTAAAGGGGCTTTGTGTTCAGAGTGATTCTTCTTACAGTCTGAATTTCTATCATTCTAGTTAAAGTATGCTGTGCTAGATAAACATTTCAAACCTGAACATGTAAAGTTCTTTGGGGGCCAAAAAGGGATTGAGAAATATGCCCCCCAAAAAGTGGGGAAAAGGCAGAAAGGAAGGAAGTCCTATGAGAGAGAGCTGGGCAGGAGGGCAGGCAGGGGTGGGGCGGGGGGCACCAGTCTTGTTCTGTCTTAGTCTCCAGCTATCAGTCCTTCAAGGCCTTGGTGCTCAGGAAATTAGGAAGAAAGGGGAGCTGGGAACTCCTCATATGTTATTTTTTTGTTTTTTTTTTTTTTTGCGGTACGCGGGCCTCTCACTGCTGTGGCCTCTCCCGCTGCGGAGCACAGGCTCCGGACGCACAGGCTCAGCGGCCATGGCTCACGGGCCCAGCCGCTCCGCTGCACGTGGGATCTTCCCGGACCAGGGCACGAACCCGTGTCCCCTGCATCGGCAGGCGGACTCTCAACCACTGCGCCACCAGGGAAGCCCCCCTCATGTGTTTTTGCAGAACCACCTGAAAAGGCGTGTTCCTCTAGCAGACTTCACAACATGGTGGTTAAGCACACAGCTTCCCAAATCGGACAGATCTAGGATCACAGGCAGGATATTTAGTCCCTCAGCATCCTTTCCTGTCTACAAAATGGGGATCGTAATTCTCTCTACCTCATAGAGTTGTTGGGAGGATTCTGAGTTCAGACGTGTGAAGATGTGACACATTGCCTGGCGCACCACAGGTGCCTCATCAATGGAAGTCATCACTCGTGAGGACACGGCTAATAAACAGCGGGGCTGAAGCTCACACTCCGGTCTGTGTGACCCCAAAGCCCACGCTCTTTCTTCTGCCTGCAACAGGAGTCCCCAAGCCCCGGGCCACGGATCGGTACCGGGCTGAGGCCTGTTAGGAACCAGGCCGCACAGCAGGAGGTGAATGGTGGGCACGCGAGCGAAGCTTCACCTGTGGCTCCCCCATCGCTGGCATCACTGCCTGAACCACGCCCTCCCCGGTCCGTGGAAAAATTGTCTTCCACGAAACCGGTCCCTGGTGCCCAAAAGGTTGGGGACCGCTGGCTTACAACGCTGTCCCCTTACTCCTTTTTGCCTGGTCACCTTCTATTCACTCTTCAGATTTTAACATCACTTCCTCAGAGAAGCTTTTCTAACACCGCCCTCCCCGCCGACAAGTTCTCCCCAACAGGGGGCACATACAACTCCGTTATGTGTCCTCACAGCACTCGGCTTCCCCTTCCATAGCTCTCATCACCCTTACTAAAAGCAGAATTATTGAGGTATAATTCGCATCCCACAGAATTCACCCATTTAAAGCACACGGGATGGCCGTCTTTCCCACTAGACGGAAAGCCCCATGAGGGCAGTTTACCACTACATCTCCAGAACCTAGCGCACTGTCTGCTCAAAGCAAGGGCGTGGCAAGTAAACAGCTGTTAAATGAATGAATGTCACTCTGCCTATGGATTCCTGCTCTCGGGGGAAGGGAGACTTCATGGTAGTGCGGATTTCCATTGCAAGCTTGTTTGTTCGGCCAAAACGGACGTATGCATTTTTTTCACCCTCCTGTCTGTCCTTCAAGTCACAGCAGGGACTCGGGCCTACAAGGGAGGGTGTTACCAGTGGTTCAAGCCTCTGGGCTGCCAGTGGGAGAACATCCTCAGGGAATGTTCTGCCTGCGGGGAAATGCTCCACGGCAGGAGGCCTGGTCTGGGTCCCTGCCCACGGCCGGTACCCCCGGAATTCCGTGACACAGATTCAGGCCAAGAAACACAGGTCAAGGCAGAGAGGAGTTTTCCAAAGGTCCCGGCAGGAGAGATGCAAGAGCAGGGAGGGAAATGCCCACAGATAGCCTGCTGTCGAGGGCCAGGATTTAGCACCCTCCCTTCACGCCCAGAACATGGACAGACGGCAGCCCCGGGACGGGGTGCTTCGTCAGCTCCATGAATGACTGACGTAGGGACACCGACGGCCTCTGCCCACAAGCCTCTCATCCAGTCATGAGCTGGCAAGCACGGGGTGTGGCACTTGGGTCCCCAGAGCGGCCAGCAGCAGACTGTGACATCACAGAGCCTGCCGCGTGGGGAGGAGTCCTGGGCCGGCACCATCCCCTGGGCCACAGCTACAGGGAGGGTCTGGAGAATGCTGTTGGAGATGTGTTTCTTTGGGGAGACCGAGTTCCCCATAGGCATGTCGCAGGGCATCTAATGATGGTGACAAGGTATCCGACCTGGTTGCAACTGCCCTTGATAGAGGGACGGCTGCCCCAGCTCACAAATGGAGAAACGCGAAGGTTTAGAAACAGACTGAGCAGCTTGTCTGAGATAACACAGCTCTTAAAAGTCAATTCGAGACTGAAAACCAAGCAGGTTGACTCCGGAGCCTGCACTGGACGATGGTTATTATAATTCGAGTTAACAACTGACAATCATTTAGCATTTTAGCTTTTCAAAGGCTTTCACTTAATTTGAATCTCACAACAACCCTGCACGGCAGAGAGAAGAACAGGAGGCGAGATCCCCACTGTAGAGAGGAGGAAAGTGGGGCACAGAGATGCTGAAGAGCCGTGACTGGACACCCAGACCCTTGACTCTCGCCCCTCCACACCCTGGGAGACATCCCTCTCCGCACCAGCTCCCACCCGGCAGGCACTGGGGAAGCGCGACAGGTGAGGGGCTTACCTGAGTCCTGAGAGCAGCTGAAGCCGGTGTCCCCCGTGCTGCTGCTGTTACCCAGGGGCTGCCCGCCTGCCATGAGTGCCGTGAGGTGTGGGGACAGGCCCAGGTCTGCAAGGCAAGGTCGGCACTGACTGCACAATCCACGGCCCGCCCAGTCCCCAGGGGCCTCGCCTCCGCTCCCCTGTCCGCTCTGTCCTCCTCGCAAAGCGTGCTCTCCACGCACTGAGGACACGAAGCTCTAGGCAGCCCTTCCTCTGTCCCTTGTTCCTATCCCGGGGAGTCTGTGACAGGATTCACTGGGTCCCCCCAGAGGGGAAGCGCTCGTGACAAACGTCAAACACCAACAAGGCAGGTGGGAGAGAAAACGAGGTGAACAGTCCTGGGAGGGAGATCTACCAGTTAAACACGGGTGCGCGTTTAACCCCCGAGATCCTACCTGAAGACCAAAAGGGACGTTTTTTGAAGAGGCCGAAACCCCCAAATGAAGAGGATGTTTGTAAGCTGGAAGGTGGGAAGTGGGCAGTGAAACGAGCCCAGGAAAGAGCTGAGGCTGGCACAGGGGGAGGCCTGGAAGGAGGCCCCCAGAAGCTCAGGAACTGGAGGCCCGGAGTCTCTGCAGGCAGGTGGGGCTTGATGGAAAGTCTCTACAGGAAGCAGTGGGTCCCCTCCACTGCTGTTCCCAGTTCGGGGTCCAGGCTCCCATTCCCCATGTTGGCAGCAGAGTGGACAGAGTGAACTGGGGGACTTGGCCTTAGCGACACCAGGCACATGGCAACGTGGCAAAAACTGAGGGAACAATGAGAGGCTACATAGTTACCAGTGGGAGCCCCACCCCACTGCCTCACCTAACCTGGGCAGGAGACCAGAGACCCCGTCCCCAGGGAAATCCAGCCAGCCAGAGAGAAAAGCCCCACAGACCCCAAGATCTGGGCGCCCCGTGAGACGGCCCAGTCCCACCACCGCCCAGGGCTTCCCGCCAGCTTTCCTGGGCCGACTTACTAACTGTGAGGGACAGTGGAGATCACCAGATACTTAAGGAAAGGCACTAGCAGAGATGGGGGAATAAAAAAGGAAGGGAGGAAGGAGAGAAGGGAGAAAAAAGGATGTCTCGGGAGACAACGCAGGGAGCTTCAGAAAACAAACAGAATTCTAATTGGGTGTCCTTAGAAAATTGAGAAAATAATGACTCCATGAACAAAAGAGCTGGAGGCCATAAAGACCATGGAGTTAACAAAAAAGGCACTCTTAGCAATTAAGGAAAAGCACAGAAAAGTCAAACTCCTCCGATCTCACGAGGAAGACCTACCTACCTGCCATGAAGGACCACCAGCGTTCCCCCGCAGCAAACCTACAGACAGGAGACACCTCCACCCTGTACCTTCATCCTAATTTCTTCTGAGGGGACAAAGCGACATGACACACATGCTCTCCTTTCTCCTTCAGAGCCACGGAGGAAATGATGGGGGCTGAACCCGTGCAGTCAGAGCACGCTGCTCTCAGAAGCTCCCTGTCATGACCTGTGGGGAAAGCACTTTTGCAAGGAGCCTTCCCCTCTCCTGGGGGTTGGTGTGGAGGTCTGGGGCCAGAGAAGAGCTCAAACGTGATCAGCCACCTCCAGGGTCTTCGCCTCAGAATATGACTATGTCTCAGCTGGAAGCCCGGCTTGCGGAGGGGTGGGCCGCTGGGGGAACGTGCACTGCCAACCGGGACGGCTGAGGCCACAGTGGGTTCTGGACGCCATCTCTGAGGCTGCAGTGAGAGCCAGGCACAAGTCCCGGTCTCTACCAGCGGGAGAAATCACTGGAGCCAGACCAATGCGGCTCGGCTAAGAGATGTGGAAACAGGGCAGCTGGGCGGCAACTCTCTATTCTGTGTTTATCCAGCATTTTACCACTGGAGAGTAGACTCAGTTACCCTGAGTTTTTTCACATGAAACAACAACACATCTACCGGGCTGGGCCCAATCCAACCCCTTTCACAAATTTCTTTTTAAAAAAGAAAGAAAGAGAAAGGCACAAAACGACAGGCACAGGGATCAGATCAGAAGCCTGGAGTGGCCAGAAGAGCCATGAGTGCCTTTGAGAGGCTAAAAGAACAGAGTGCAATTCTGGGGTGACATTGGCACTTTGAAGTAACCAGAAGACCTCTAGGTGGCGCCAGGAAGGGAACTTGGTAAAGCAAGGCAGGAAAATTCAAAGGCCCCAGGGTCTCCTTCCTTCCCTCCAGCCCAGACCTCACAAGGGCCCTGAGGTGGGGCATTTCCTCTGAGCAAATGGGAGTCAGCGTCCTTCTCTGCAGAAGACAGATGGGAAGGCTCTATTCCCAGTTCCAGGAGCTTCGAGCATCACACGAGTACAGCATTTGGAGAGGCTGGCCTCCCACCATGCCAAGGCCTCCCTCGAAGCCTGGGTTGGGGTGATGTCTGGGCTGTCCACCCCAACTGGGTTGGCGAGTGGCAGAGTTGCTGGAGAAGCCTGTGGCCCTTTCTCCTGAAGGCCCCCTTCTTTGCTCCGATGACCTGTAGCCACCTGTCAGCTTTGGATTTGTAGTCTGGCCTCCCAAGACCAAACGTAAGCATTTAGCTCACCTTTCAGCCCTGGAATCAATGTCCACTCCAGGGCTGACCTGCCCACCATGAAGTGGCCCTGCCTGGCAAAACCCCAGGGAGGCCAGAGATCTCAACTCCTAGGGGAGCCCCATGGGAATCTGCTAATGAGACCTCACAAGCAGAACGTCTTGTGGTGGCCCGGTGACAGCTGGCACCCAGGGAAAACCCAAGCTGCTGCACTTCATCAGTTTGGGGCTAACAGAATGAGAAAACCCAAATCCATGGATTATGGCTGAAATCTATGTATGAAATAAACATGACTCCATGTGTAAAAAACCCCTGGCCTCCCAGAGTCAGTAGGAAAGCGCCACTTTACTGCACCTGTGCTCACAAGCACTGTTAGGAAAGTTTATAATTCCATGTACTGAATCCTTTGGTGAAAACTTTGCAGATGCGTATGCAAACGGAGAGGAACAAAACCGAGCCGGGGCCTCCGAGCCTTTTCTTGCTGGCTTTGGAACAAATCTTACCATCCTTCTTACCAGGGATGCGAGGTGGAAGGCAGAGTTCTCCCTCCTGACCAGAAAGGCCGTGGGCATTCCTGGCGTGGCTGGAGCGGAGCGCGGAGCTGGGGTGGGCACTGCTCTCTTTCCAAGACTCCTGATGACGCTGTTGCCCACCTCCTCAAGTCAGGACGTCCCGGGAAGAGACAGCAGGGATGCCCCCAGCTCCCATTCAAGGGGAAGGCCAGCAACTCAGAACCCACCATCCCACATGCTCTTCAGCCCAAACACATCCCACAAGACTGCTTTTCCCTCAGTGAGGAGACTGCTCACCGCCTTGGACTTGCCAACCCAACCACAGCGGGTGTTTTCCGCCTGTTCTCACGGCCCCACAAACTCTTCCAGGATAATCTCAAGTGGCTTGCATGGGAAGTCTTGGCCCCCAAAGCAGATGTTTCCTTCTCTTCTATCTACCCTCTCCTCCTCCATTCTCCTTCCTCATTTTTTTCCCTTCCTCATTCTTAACTTCATTGGAATCGAAAACATTAATGTTGTTTTTTTTTTTTTATTTTTTTTGCCTAGAAGGTAAGTGATTTTACAAAATCTGAACAAATAAGTTCATCAGTGAAATGAAACCAAACCCTGAATGTACTCCTCCTGGCTCACAAGTCACACTTGGAATCACGGTCTTGCCAGTGGCAGGGGGCGGGCATTTCAGGAATTAAAATACTGGGGTCCTGAGAGATTTTTTTCTCCTATAGTCAAAATAAAAAGTCCCAGAATTCCTTCCTTTCTCAAGGAGGAAGACTCCATTAGTCCCTGAGATAAATAAGTGACATTGGTTTGTTTAATTGCCACACGGAAAAAACTCCTATCATCACTACCACTGAATATTCATGATAATTAAGAGTTGTTATTTCTTTCCACTCTCTTGAGACGGCAGGTGGAAGACCTATTTCCTGAGGAGGAAAAATTATCTCGAGCAGCATGAGTTGCCCAGAGTCGTCTGGCAAGAGACTAGAACGGCAGTCTGAACTGGCGCTTTCCTTGAATATGGTCTCATAAGTGCCCTCAGAGTCTCTCTTCCAACAGCCTGTCCAGATGACAGTCTCCCTCAAACAACACAGTCATAACTGCAGAGGCAAGATCCACCAGTGCATGCTACAAACAGTGGGAGCCTCAAAATATCTCCTATGTTGTACTTATTAATGACAAGGGAAAAAACAGTGAATTCACAGTGGGGAAACCTGGCAGACGCCACCTTAACTGTAGGGACTGAAAGTACTCGCCACCAAATTCATACACTGAAGCCCTAACCCCCAATGTGATGGTATTCAGAGGTGGGTCCTTGGGAAGGTACTGAGGTTTAGAAGAGGTCACGAGGGTGAGGTGCTTATAAGAAGAGACCGGAGAGCTTGCTCTCTCCCCAGCCCTCCGCCATGGGAGGACACAGCAAAAGGACAGCCTGCAAGAGGGTCCTCACCAGAACCCAACCATGTTGCCACCCTGACCTCAGACTTCTAGCCTCCTGAACTGTGAAAAAATGAACGTCTGTGGTTTAAGCCATGCAGTCTACAGTAGTTTGTTGTAGCAGCCCAAGCTAAGACATCAAGCGAGAGATCAGGGTAAGAACTAGCTAGTAAGACGACCTACTGACATATGTACCCCTGGCATGCTCATTAGGAAGAGCACATCACCCGCCCAGCCTTGCCTGCCAAAAAGGTATTACCTCATTGTGACCCTGAGAACACATGAGCTACATGCAAATTGAGGGGCCTTCTACAAAATCCCCGATCAGGACTCTACAAAAAGTGTCAAGTCATGGAAGACAAGGAAAAAAAAAAAAAGACTTGTCAAAGACTCAAGAAGACAAAGGAGATGTGACAACTGAATACAACGTGGGATCCCGAACTGGATCCTGGAACAGAAAAAGGACATCAATGGGAAAATGGGTGAAATCTGAGTCAAGTCTGTAGTTGTTAATAGTGCTGCACCCCTGGAGATGTCTTAGGTTTGAGAGCTGTGCTACGGTTAGGCAAGATGTTAGCAATAGGAGAAGCTGGGTGGATGGGTATTCTCTGTACTGTTTTCCTAACTCTTCACTGAGTCTAAAATTATCTCAAAAGAAAAAGGTTTAAAAAAAAAATCTATCCCCCACTAGAGTAATTCCTCTGGGTCTCATCAAAGGGGATGGGACCATGTCCAGAAACTGTTAGCTCCGAAATCAATTACCAAATGGAGGAGCAGCTGTACACACACCAGATAGTGACATTTCAATGAGAGAGTGGAGGTCCGCCATCGACACATCCTGAATTATTAGCGACAATACGAGGAAACCACCGACCCGTGAGGAAAGGCCCAAGACGAGTATGTCCAGGAGGAGTAGCTGAGGAGGGTAGGAAGTGCTTTAAAGAGGACCCTGCCTTCAAGGAACACTGAAAGGTGAAGGTAGCCTGGTCCAATGCTTGTGTTCTTTTTTCTCTAGATAGATCTATCAATGTACTCTCCAGACCAGTGGGCCATGGCTGTGGTCATAGAACACGGATTTCTGAACTCTGGTGTACCCTGACTTGAACTGCCGAGCTCAGGAAATCTGCTTGGGAATCACAGTGGACACTCTGGGATGTTCCTTCCCCAAAGGAAACCTGTGTTTTAAGCCCTGAAGCAGCAGTCAGTCTGAGACCTCACCCATCAACCTGCCCGAGCGCCTGCAGGACCACAGGCTACACCCGCCTGAGGGTGGGCATCCCTTCCCTGACAAGTTCCCAAGTTACCTATGATCCTGTTGGAAATGCTGAAGAGCCTGGAAGTCCTCTGCCGCTGCACAAACGGTTCCCGGTAATACCGATCCCCAAAGCACATGCCCAGTAGTTCCTTGCGAACCGTCTTGTTCCAGAGTCCATAGATCAGGGGGTGGCAGATGGCACTGGTAAAGGACAGCCAAGTGGCCCAGGTCTCCAGGGTTGGGGAGACATAGTTCTTCCCCCAGAGGGCCTCAGAGGTGATAACGACCATGTAGGGGCCCCAAGTGACCATGAAGGCACCAATGACCACCAGGATGGTGATGAGCGCTTTGCACTGGTTGGCCGAATAGACCACGCCCTGAAAGGCGTTCTTCCTACTGCCCGAGGAAGAGGTGGAGGTGCTGGAGTTCTTCCTCCCGTTCCTGTGCGCGTCCTCCTCCACAAGGACCACGGTGCCACAGTGCACCTTGCGTGCCTTGACCCTGGCCACACGGAAGATGAAGCCATAGCACACCAGCATGACCAGGAAGGGGAACAGGGCACACCAGATCTGCCAGAAGGCAGTATAGCCAGGCTCCCGGTGCCACGCGGCCACACACATCCACTTGAACTCGTCAAACTCCACCGATGACCAACCAAATAGAGGTGGCAGGCAGCCGATGAGGGAGTGAAGCCAGATGTAGGCAAGCGCCACCACGGCTCGATTGCCTGTGATCTTCATGGGGTACACCATGGGGTACAGGACAGCATAGTAGCTAGAAAAAGAATGGAGGCAGGTGAGGGAGAGGAGTAAAAATAGAGAAGACACACCAGGAGGGGCACCCACTGCTCTCCTAGGTAGCAAGCTCTGTTGGATTTCTCTCATTCAATACTGCCATGGGGTGAATGCTTCTATAAGTAGCACCTTCTCTCTCAACCCTCCCCGGACAAGTCACAGACTGGCCATGTCACACAGCTCCGTGGAACTCTTCATCGGAGAACGGCTGGACACCAGGAAGAACACAGAGCTCAGGCGGCCCTGTTTCCAGAGCCCACTCACATTTGGGGGTGTGGCTAGTCTTCAGGCATCTCCAGGAGTTCTAAGGGATCATGCATCAAGCCAGATCACTTCTGTGTTTCTGACAGTAATCCTTTTAGATCTGCTTTCAGAGGGTCCTCAGAAACCAGAAGAACATCTAAGGATTATGGGGTACGTTCATTCAGTGAACGTTTACTGAAGGCCTGCCACATGCCAAGCACTGTGCTATGCACCGGAAATACAGGTAAAAAGGTGCAGGGGGAGACAGACACATAAGCAGAGTATGAGGCTCTGGAGCAGAAAGGGCGATATTTAATCCTCACAAGAAGTCTTTAGAGTGACTGGCATTATCATTCTCCTCATCTTAACAGCAGAGAAAGGATAAATAATCTGCTCTAGATAAGGAAGGGGAAGAAACAAGATAAAACCCCGGGGGGGG